GAAAAATACGTGATACTGTCCCATTGGAAGAAAAAAGGTTGTACAAAGTATATACAGCAGAAGTGCCGACAAGTATGGTTCATTTGGTCAATTATGTATTTATATTTTTTTTATGTGAAAGGTATGAAATTATAAGAAGTTGAAGCAATAGCAGATTTTCCAATAGCCATCAAGAAAACTGATAAATGCTTGGAGGTAAACAGAATAAAACAAACAAAAAGACAAAAATATATATGTAAGGTAGTTTGGCAGCTTTTCAGCAGATGACTTTGTGCAGAACTTTAATCTTAGATAGCCATTGAAATTTAAGATATATGTACAAAAAAGTAAGGGACCCAAGAAAAACAGTCCCCAGGGAGTTTGTCTCTTAGCTACCCTCAGAACATTTAAATCTTCAAGTAAAGCCCACACTGCTGGTTGCTGTATTAAATGCTTACAAGTAGGTTAATGTGCTCATATTTGCAAATTTGAAAACATCACAGGATCTACTTTAACTACCCTTCACTGACTAATACTTACTACTTTTTAAATAAACAGGTGAAATAGGCACTGAATATATTTGGTGCAAAGCCCTTGCAAATGGATTCCAATGTGATTCAGTCACAATAATTAGAATTACTAAAGGTGACTTTGAAATAAGCGGGAGAGTAATGACGGTTAGAATTAACATAAGCCAACATAAGTTGCATCTCCTCTCTTTGATCTAAGCTTGTAATGTGAAAAAGTTCCTCCCTCTTTTGATAAATCTGCAAAGTAATTCCCAAAGTGGTGGAAGTCACCTGTGACAGGAGCAGGTGTATTTTATGAACAACAATTTATCTGCTGCAGTTTTGGCTCATGCATTTCTTTACAACATATGGGCAATGTAAAAGGCAAGTCAAAACACCCTGCATCCAATAAAATGAAATATGTTTTTAGAGGTTTCGGTGCCCAAGTATGGCAGGCTATAGTAAATTATCTCATTTGGTGGAGGGGTGTAAATGCTCTGAGGGTACTCTGTATCAAGCTGAAGAATGAAAAATCTGAGCTCATTTTCTGAGAACATTTAAAGATAATCCCCAAACCAACTACCCCCACCACCACCAAAAAAAAAAAAATACAGAAAGAAATGACCTGCCAAGAAGAACTTCTGAGGATTGCTAAATGAACTAATGCAGATAAAGAGTTAATGAGAGAAATAGCTGTCTGTGTGCTCACCCTTGGTCATAATTATAGTAGTCTTGTGTGTAGTAGTCTTGGCCTGGTTCGATGCCTGACTCCATTGAGAGCTCCTGTGTTTCAGTAATACACACAGAGAAATTACTCAGCAATCCTATGCAGGAAGATAGGAGCAGCACAGTGAAGAGTAAGTTCACAATTGAAAGACTGCAATTCCGATAAATTAGGGGAAACAGGGAGTTACTACCTCTGGTCTCAGTAGAGATGGCCTTAGCAGTTGTTGCTGCCAAAGGTTTTCCAAAGAAAGGTTAAGGTATTGAAAGTGGGAGGTAGATAGAAAAGACATAAACACAGAAATAATACAGAAGTACTAATAGAAAGACAGACAGTACTTTTCAGCTGTGTTTTTATTAACAGACTTGTTTTCTAAACCCCTTAGGATAAAGGTGGAAATAGAAAAAAAGTAAGGAGGAAGAAAAGGAAAGGTGCAAACTCAAATATAGGATAGGAAATTGAAAAGAAATTAACATCTTGACTACACGACTCTTATTCTGATAAAAAAATATTCTATCCAAGTAACAAAAATAATACATATTACACATTTTGAATCTAGACTTTTAACTGGGTTTTCAGTTATCTTTATACAATCAAAAATCCTTTACACTCTGTAAAACAAGAAGCCTTATTTCACACTCAAAAAACTATGGCACAAGACAATTAAATTACAAGTACTACTTTAAATTAATTTTTTAAATAAAAAAAAATCTGGTAACAAGATCATTACATGAATTGCATGGAGTAACATTAGGATTCAGTTTATACCTTAAGTATCATGATAACAAATTCCTTACCTGTCTGCCAGGAGCACGCCTCCTAAGCAGTGCGGAAAAAAAGAAAATAATACATATGAGTATTGGGTGAACACAACATTTAAGTACTTTAAATATATTAAATTCTAAATCTAAATTGCTAGTTTATTAGGACAGAAGTTGCAACTTAACTTACTGTGCATTTTCATCTGTTTCATGAGTGTTGCAGACATTGTTCAGTATTCAAAAGGTTGCAAAGATATGCTGAGATAAGCTTTTTAAAAAACTCACTATCTCAATTTAAAAGGGAGACAAAGAAAGCTTCAGAGAATGAAAAAAACAAAGCAGTAAGAACATTGTAAAAGGAGAGCCAGTGTTTCAAATAGTCCAACTGGGAAAAGCTGCAAGCAGACATAACAGAGACCGTGTCATAAGATTATTTGTGCTCAGAGATACTAGTTTTTAGTTTCATATCATATTCCCATAGGCAAAAACAATAGATATCATGGACTCTGTCTTATATCACAAACAAAACCTGTTATTATTTTAAGTTGATCTTAAATAACGAATGAGACAATAAACTATAATTATATTTTAGATACTTTTGAGAACAAGAGCTCATCTGCAGTGACATTAAAAAAGACATTGAGAAATAGCGAACAAATGAGTAAATCTATAAAAGCCTACAAGTTCACAATCACAACAATGCAACTTGTCTGGACCCATAAATAATGATCAATTTCATGCTCTTGGATATATGGCCAAGCAATGATGTGAGATTCCACAGGAGAGCTGTAATCTATTATGGGTAGGGGCCATGGGGCTGGGCGCAGCCATACGCCACACCTTCCAGGCACTGCTGATGATGGGAATGGGATCTGATTGATGACCTGTTCGCTTGGCTGCTACCCGTTGCTGTCTCATGCTACATCAAGAAAAAATAACCCCATGAAAAGCCTTAGGAAGTCTGCACAAAAAGAGACTTGGTGGAAGACGAGTAATAAAGAAGTGAGTAGAAAGAGAGCAGAAAAAAGGACCCTAGAAGCCAATTTAAGAGAGTAAATCTGAAATTAGTATGGGATTATACTGTGCTGTAGTATGACATAGTATTTGGGCTATACTGAGACAATTTTGTTTATATTACAAGAACAAAGTCATATTACAAGAAGAATGTAATAAAGTCATTAAAATTAAAAGAATAATGTGGTTTTATAAAAATTTTTGTGAAATTAAAAGCATTAAAATATGATACTATGAGAATAATGTTGAAACATTGTATAACAGAAATAAAGTCATATTGTTAGGAAGACAAAGCTAGTATAGCCAAGCATTTTAAGGTGAAGACTTCTTTCTTGTGAGTTCCCATAACTTACAACGTAAGTTACATAAGTTCCCAGAACATCAATTGCTCCCTTTTTTATTTTTGTAATATTAGAACTTGATTCTCATAATATCACTGCTTTATTTTTTAAGTATTACAGCTTTATTCTTTAATGCTGCAAATTTAATCTTAACAACCTGAACTTCTGTTTTATAATAAAAAAATGATATTTCTTTATGGCCCTAATATGCCTGCGTACTATAGCCTTCACAAATGGCAGTAAATAATAATAAATTTAGTTAGTTTCTAGTTTGCTTCTTTTTAAAAGTACAAACTGAGAAAATTTCGGTTCATTCTTTTAAATATTGATTTCATTATTTCTTACTTAATTAAAACAAATCTCAAAATGTTAATCAACACCTAAATATTCATATAACTGAACACTCTTATAAAGAAAACAAAAGAAAAAAAAATCCAACATTTGCAAACAGGTAGCTTTTGCATTTAAAGTAAACATTTTTATAAGTAGAAATGGTATATATGACTATATGTAGTAGCCCAATTTTAAAGCAAATAACAAAAATGTTTGAAACACATAGACAAAAGAGATTACCTAGCAGAGTTTCTATATCTGTTGAAACAATTAAAGCCATATGCAACCATCAAACAGCACCAAAAAGGATACTGATTCTGGAAATGTGCAATCACCAGCCTGAACCATTAATGCGAAGCAGGATCGATCCATGCTGTCACCGTGTTTATGCCAAGTTCTTACCCTCCCATCTGTACACGGCAGCCAAAAAGGAGACTCACATACAATGCAATGTCTATCAAGTCTGTAAATAGTGTGTGATTTCTGGAATAATTTCAGCCTCAGTTCCTGTTTTTGTCTGATAAAAGAGGCAATGTGTCTGGTCTTCTGCTGCTGTAGCAGCTCTGTTTCAATATTTACAATGTATCACAATGTTCTGGATAGTTCGCTTCTACCAAGTTTTTATTTGAACTACTATTGTCTATCATCTTGAAGCACCCCCCCATTGCATACTTTATTTGGACCATACTCTTTAAATTTCAGGAATGTTTCGGATAAATATTCCTGAAAATCCACTATGTGAATGAATGATTAGCCTTTTGGGTAAACGAAAAATTCTAAAGGTTTGCCTAATATGGTCCCTTGGAGTTTAAATATAAATACTTATCACCCCTCCAAGGTTATGTTTTCACCTAGCGTGGTTTATCTGTCTGTTTTCAAAATAATCAAAAAGGTTACAGAAAGATTTTGACGACATTTTCAGAGAATGATTATATTGTTATTGGTATTCTATAGTTATTTATTTAGGTTTAATGACTGGGCCCTGACCGAAATTTGGGCCAAGTCTGCCTTGGCGGTGTTGTGTAGGTCGGGTCAGCCTCCCGGGTTTTTTGATATACAGTACAGACCAAAAGTTTGGACACACCTTCTTGTTCAAAGAGTTTTGAATGAGATGTAGTGATGTCACCAGAACGTACTGATTGTTTTCTATTAAATTGACCATTGTATTTTTGATAAAGTTTTTTTTTTTCTCATTCGTATTGTTGTTGTTATTATTACTTTTATATATTTAGGACTTTAGTTGAGCTAGAAGTAATTGCTTAGTTTTAGAGTATTTATTTTTCAAAACTGTTAAAAACACACACACACACAAAAAAAATAAAATGTATGATCATTTTGTGAAAAATCATATGTTTAGTATTTCTGACCTGGTTGATATTGATATATAAAATACATGATAGCATGTTAACATGAGGTTTCTTGTCACACAAAATGCAACTTCGATTAACCATTTTTTTAAGTAAAATTTGAAGAATGTTAAACATAATCAAATAGGACCAAAAGGAAAAGGGATAAAAGGGGATTTAAATACAGAATATTAAAATACTATCTATTGCTGTTCACCTCACTTTTGGTTTGACAGACATAGCATGTGAGGCGATAGCCCCTTAAAAAAAGAGATGACCCCATATAGTGAGCACAGAATACAGAATTAGCCAGCCTGTGCTTTTTCCATCAGGGGTAACATGTAATGAATCAAAAATTATGTTTTTCTGCATGTGAGGTATGCTAAGTCTATTTGCCTTGGGGCATTGCAGATGAAACTAAAACAAAACAAAAAAGTGGATAAAAATAAAGGACAGAAGGAAGCTGATTACAATAAAACAAAAAGAGAAAAAGGAATTGACAAAAATACAACTGGATAAAAACTGTTCAAAGAATTTGGTAGTGTCTGTTGGAAATAGAAAACAAAGATTTAAAAGAAGAGGTCAATGATTTAAGATCATTATGAAGCCAACTGTGAGGAGAGTAAATGGTAAGTAAATGAGAGAAGGTTGGGGGCAGAGGGAAGCACTTGTTGACAGTTCCAAAGGCAATGGCCTTGAATAACAATCGATAAGCTCTCTAATTACCCTTTTTCATTAAGCTAACATCATAGTTGCTACTTTTTCAAGCTGAGAGCATGGGATCTCTAAGGGAATGTGCAAAGAGCACTTCTTTTCACACAAGAAGATGTATTACCACATTGTTTGTGTATCTTGTCTAGAATTCTTACCCCTGAGACACCCCTTATTTCAGATTTCCACATCTTTGCATTTTAAAGTCACTCATCCCTGTATGTATTTTGAAGCAGCTGCAGATAATTATGTACTCCAAGCGCCTTTAGGGACAAGACTGCATCTTGTACCAAATATATGATGTGTATACCGAATATATGAGCTATATTACAGCTCGGCATATCTTTAGGGTAACTGGTATTAAATTAATGAAATAAATATTCTAAAGTTTAAAAAAATCTCAGTTTATATAAGCATAATAATGCCAAATAGAGGCCTGAATAATATAGAGCATTGTAATAAAGAAAGCTTTCAACAGATGAATCTCTTTGAACACTTTTGTTATAATTAAAGTATTAAAGCATACTATACAGGCAGTGTAACAATTTTTTGAAGTTTTCTTGGCAAGTTGCTAAAAGTTGCACACAAAAATTAAGTAGAAAACCTTTTCCTATAAAAAACTGTCACAATTAATTTAAATCTTAAAAAAAACATGAATTGGATACTGCACATAATGAACAGTAGAAACAACAAGAAAAGACAGGCATAGAGATGCAGACATGAAATGATGTTATGGAAATAACAAAAGTCAGAAAACTGTGGACTGAGAAAAGTTCTGTTCAACAGGTTCTGCAGATTCGGGTCTGTTTGTGTCCAACTGGCTTGACGTCTGAAACTTTGCTCCATTTTCAGCACAGCTGGAACTTGTTGAATCACTTTGAATCTCACAGCTCGGGTCAATCTGTTTTGGCGAGTTCTGCTCATCACCTGGATCAGCACTCTGCCATCTGTAAGCACCATCCGATTCCTCACTTGCTTGTGGCATCTTGTTAAACTTGGGCACCTTGCTGTTCTTGTCTACTTGGCTGTAAAGGTTGGCAACAGATCGTTCAATGTCCGCCAGATTCTGGATGTTCTTAAGGATCCCTTTTAACTCCTTTTTTCCAACATCCTTTTCTGCTGAGGTAAGAGGAGGGGGAAGTTTTCGTTTTGAGACAGGACGAAGAGAGGATAACGGCGGTAAAGCTGTTGGAACAAACTGGATAACAGGCTGGGGCTGATTGCTAGCAGGTGAGGGAGGAGGAAGTGGTGGCGGAGGTGGGGGAGCAACTGGTTTTCTAAATGGAGGAGAAGAGGGACGGATACTCTGAGGTGTATCAAAGTGGGGAGGGGAATGTGAATTGGAGGGGGGAGATGGTGGCGGAGATGTGAGAGGGGATGGTGGTCGAGAATGCTGAGGAGGAAGAGGTGGTGGATTGTTTGGTGGATCTGGTATGATTTCAACAGTGATCTGACAGGGCTGCACTGTCATGTAGCTGGAGATGCCAGAGCTGAACTTTCTCAGAATGGGTGGAGTTGGTCTCTGGTTGGATGGGGACCATGAATCATTTGTCTGTGTGATGACAAAGTTTGGGGGCTCATCTCTGCCCACACTCATGGGGCTGTGAGGTATGTCCATGATGGAAAGTAAAGTTTCTGAGGTCAGCTCTAGCGTGTCATCACTGTCCATATCTCTGACAAGGATAGAAGAAAGGGAACCGATAGAGTCTCTGTTTCGCTTATTTTCTTGAAAAACCTGCTGCTCAAACTGCCTGGCCTGCTCACGGACTGATAACTTAGACTCTGTGCTGTCACCCAGGTATGGTGTATCCAAACCCTGGGGATTCTGCTGGTCTCTTTTGCTTGCTTGAAAAAGCTGCTGCTCCCACTCATTTCTGTCAATAAGGCCTTGCCTTCTCAACACATTGTAGTCATGCAGCCCTCCGTGAATGCGAGCAGGCATTGACCAGGCACACCCTGACCCTGGTGAATTGGAGGGAGAAAACGCAAACAGCTTTTCATTTCGATTCTCCTGTCTTGCAAAGACAACAGGACTGCCCAGGGCGCTGCTGTCATCATACACAGGGTTATGCGTTATGAGTGGGTTGCCATCAGACAGGTAAGTTATGTTGCTCTCTGATTTGGGCAGGTCGACGAGCAGCGTGCCGTTACTATAGGCTGCAATGGTGCGACAGTTGAAGGTGCTAAGAATCCTCTGATGTTTGGCTTCCTCAGTGGCAGACTTTTTAGCCCTATCCCAGCAGAGGGTGGAGGTGAAAAGAAAGATAACTTAAAAGAGGTAAAGGACAATGGTTTAGGGGTGAGGAAGCAAAGAAAGGATGATAGGAAATAATAATGCAGTGCTATACAACCTAAGCTTAATTGTATTGTGACAGATTTTAAAAGCAAATTGTCCTATTATTTTACACTGGAAAACTTATGCTACCGTAAATATTTTTAGTATACTTCCAAAGAATGCATGAATCATACACAGTACTCTACAAATATATCCACACCCCTTGACTTTGTTGTTCATTTTGTGCAACCTTCAATGCATTTTATTTAGATTTTATGATTGATCATAAAATGTTATCCATGACTTATTACACTTGAGATATAGATGTTACTGAGTAAAAATAGAGATCAAATGTAATAAAAAAGCAAACTCCAAAAAGGCTAGTAATCCATTGGCTCGGTTAGCCTGTCAATCAGCCTGTTGTTATCTTAGCGAAAACATTTCTTTTATTTGTAAACTGTAAACTCCCTTGTTTGTGGTGGAAACCTTAAGAATATGATCAGGGCCGTAACGAGGATTTTGAAATACAGAGGTCAAATATTGTGATAAATCTTACTTGACAAAAAAACATCCTAATATAGTGACTGTTTAAAATATATTTTGGAAACATAAATAAGAGGGTTAAATCACAAGCCCATCAAGGAGGTGAATATGAACATGTTTATTATAACAATTCTAAAGTTCACAAAATTAGAGTATTTAAGTGAGTGAGTGTTATTATTATTATCATCATTATACTATATTATCATTGTTGTGGTTATTAATATTGAATTATTATTACTACTATAATTATTGTCACCATCATCACCATTAATGTGCATGGCCCACTAAATTAATCAAATGACTTGCAATAATATATCACATTGTGAACTTTATTTATTCCTTTTAATAAATGAGAATGCATGCTGATCTTTACGCCACTAATTTAAAGCATGTAGGATCTTAAAAGAATTGGAATCAAGAATTGATACTAACCAGAACTGAAACAAGCAATCTGAATTAATTAGTTAAACTGTCCTTCATTGAGTTATATTTTACATTGCTTTAAATCTGATTTCTTTTCACTTCTGCAAGGCAGCAACCATTGTACAGGAGAGATCTGGTGCTGTGAGATGTCAGTAACCTGGCATTCTTCAGCAACTTCTTGCTATTCTTTGTTACAGGCCAAATCATCAAACTATAACTTGTCAACCTAACTAAGCTATTATCTCTGCGGCTTCTCCAGAGTTACCAAAAGCGCCTTGCCTGCTTCTCTGTTTAATTTTCTCCTTGCCCCCTGGCTGATGAATAAAACAGTGCTCTGTGAGATTTTCAAAGCACAGGTTCTTTTTTTTCCCCAAAATGCTACTTTTAACTTGCTCTTTGTTCTCCATGAGGCTTTTTGTTCACTGTTGTTCGTAAACAAAACTCTTTTATAAAAAATTGATGAACTGGGGTTAAAAGACACTAAGGTGAACTGTATTTACTAATTAGGGAAGCTCTGGAGTCCCTTGGTTGCACTGGAATTTGATGGGGATGTAATTGAGAATGTTGCATAAAATAAATGCATGCTGCACTTTTGCCATTCCATAAAATACATCAGAGTTTGCGATTATGACTTTAGAAGATGTAAAAATGTTCAAGGGGGTAGGTATACTTGATAGTCACTGTGTTTCACAATTAATCTCATACTGCTTTTATTTTTAAATACATTTATAAAGTGCACCATGTTTTGATGACTTAAAAAAAGGAGGCAATGCTAAGACTCAAACATAGTGGGGTTTGCTTGAAATAGCTAATGAAGCACAGAGCCATATATATGCATTTGTATAATCTGTCACAAGACAGGGGTGTATAAAAATAAGGGAAACAACAAAAAACAGGACAGTAGTTTAATTGGCTGGGAGAGAGGATGCATATCTTCAAAAGTACACTACATCTAAAAAGGGCAGTTTGCTTTTCTCAACAGATAAATAATAAAACAGTAAGTCTAAAAAAAAACAGCTAAAATTCACAAAACCTACCCTTGAAAGTACCACTCCTTCACAAAGCTCATTTAACTCTGGCATAAAAGCATTTGGTGTTAACTGAAGAAGCCTAGTATTAAGATAACCTCTGCACCAAAACAGATTTTTATTTTCTTCAACATGCATATCTTCAGCCAAAGCTATAGGCGAGAGTAGAGACGGGGGAGCTGCTGTTAAGTGGTAATTACTCACAGTATTCATATTCATAGAGCTCACATGGGAGGATTACTTACTGCAGTCTGAATCCAGAGAGACAAGAAATGATGAGAATACAAAAACAGACAGATGGTAAGAAGACGAAAACACAAATGTGAGAGTTGTTGATGATGAAATGGCAGTTATAAAGGAAATGTGGAAGAATATAGCACATCTCTGCATAGCCCCAATCTATAGTGAGATTTGGTTGACAAAGACCTACAGTAAATAAAGGATAGGACAGTTGTTTTGAAATCTTATTATGAAAAAAGCAACAAAGAAAAAGCAATTTCTGAAACGCGTCTCCATGTTGACTGTTGAAAACCTCTAATCAAAGAAGCAGTTTCATTACCGCCAGAAAATTTTAATTGTGCAATACAATTATTATAAAAGCGGGCAAACATTTCAACTCAGACAGGAAATATTAAATCCATTTTACTCTAGTATTTCATAGAACTGTGGGAAATTCAATTTTGCTGATGGCATAGTACTCTGGAAGTATTTAAAGTGTTGTGTGTATTAATCAAAATGAGGTCTATAGCAATTTATGACTTTAGAAACTTACCTTAAGAGAGTGTTTTGCATAAACAGCATAAAATGCATAAACAGTCATATTAGAAATACTTTCATAAGGTGTTTTCTTTTATGTCCACATTCTTTTACATACGGTGTAGCTGTATGTATCAAGTTTATAACTCGCAAAAGAAGATGGACAGCAGGAGTTCTGTAAGCATGAGGCAAATCTTATTGTGTCATATATTTCTGATCGACATCTAAAATAAGCAATGACATTATTCTGGAGTATGCACCAATACTAAAAATCTAAAATTGCTGTTGCAGAAAGCTAGAAGATGGAGCCAAGAAAAAAAAAAAATAGAAGCCTTCATTTTAGAGCAACTTCCCTGATCTAAACCTCAGCAGAGGTAAACCTGCACAGTTAGATAAAGTACCTTCACACCACTGCAGTTGGTGGGATGTGTGGGATAAAAGACAGACACCAGAGGGACATAACTCACATGCTGCTGTCACCTAGTTCTTCATAGAGGTTAGCAGTGGGGGCAGCGGCTGGAGCTGCTTTCCCTCCTGGTGGTAAAGCCATCTGGATCCTGGCAGTTTTGGCACACTCTGCTTGCCGCCTACACAAAGTGTTTACATTTACACAAATCATTATAAGTGACTCAAGATGCCATGGGAAATATGAGGACATAAGCTGACACAATGAAAAAGCAAACAAACAATCTAATTATTTTTCTCCAAATTTTACAAAATTAAGATCGAATTTTTGTAAGTTTAGTGAAGATAGGTAAAACTTTTTGTTTTTAAGGCCATGAGGAAATTTTGGACCAATGTGTATTATACAGCATAAATTAACTTGGTAATAACAAGTATAATTCTTCTTTTTAAGAAGAAAAAAAAAACAAAGACAACAAACAAACAAAAAGAAATAGCATTTGCCCTTGGGAAAAACATAAGTCTATATAAAAGCGTTAAACATGTGGTCAGTTAAAAGTCAAATTTCTTATAACAATTACTTTACCCAAAAGCTACTGCATTTCCATCTTTTTGCTGTTAAATATGACTTGATGTGTCAATCCACAATGGGGTGGAAAACCTTTTTACGATTTTCCAAGCCTTGATTAAGTTTCACCAAAAAAAGATTGCTTAGTGGAAATTTTCATTTTAAGAACACAACTCCCAAAAAATTCTAGAATGCTTTGGATCACAAAAAAGCAACATTGATAAACTAATTCTTGACCTTCTAGTAGAAAATCTTGTCCATACTAATATATACGGAGAAGATTAGTATAAATAATGTGCCAAATCAGCTGTTTCCAACAGAATAAGCACATGTGGTTTGTTGGATTCAGCTTAATTTTTTTATTTGAGTATGACTGTATTTTACACACCAGAGGAGATGTTCCGCAAAATTACCCATTCGGCCTCTAATCCACAAGTTGAGTCAGTGCTGCTGTGTATCATGTCAGCAACATTACAGAATGGTGGCATTAATGGGCAAACCATTTTGGTTGTGACACAGGGACAAATATAAACGGGAATGCAAAAGGCAGATAAATAAATTACTTACTCTTTGAACCTGTTGAAAGGTTTGATGATGCAGAAAAAAGAAGATAAAAAAAAATAGGACACAGAAAGACAAAAATACAGTTAATATATAGAATTATAAATCTGCTTTCAAAATAATGAACATAAAGGTGTGATGTATAACATATCCCAAGATTTCAAATTAAAAACAAGACAAAAAAGTCAACAAATAAAATACATTTAACGAACTGTTATTTTTATTCATAAACCAGTAGCTTTCCCTGTTAGACTTCAGGGCTCCCAGCTGATGCTCACTGTTTGAGGTGAAGCTTAAATGCTTCATACTGCTTATTAACAACAAAATTCAATTATTCCACATGAGTGAGCAAATTGATGTTGCAAGTGTTATTGTTGTTTCCAGATCTATGCAACATCAAATTAGGTTGACAAACATCAATGAGAAAATTACATTGTGATGTGATAACCTACAAAGTGCCATCTGCTATGACAGTTTGCCTTTCAGCTCTAATGCCACCATCAACAGCTTTCAAATACATTCTCTGCGTTCATTTGAAGGTGGACAACCAATCCAGCCATCTGCCCTGAAGAGCATTTGCCAGATGCAAACCTCTAAAGCATATCAGCTGATACACAGAGAAAAAAAAATACATATACATATACATATATATATATATATATGCTTTACAAAAATAAGTCTGTTCTTCAGTGGTGTGAATGTTGTTTTATAGAAAATCAAGAAAACTTCATGCAATAACATATTTCAGCACCACTAAGAAAAACATGGACCCTAAAAAAATGGGAGCAGCGACTGTTTTGTGTAAAGTTGATTAAGTAGTGGAAAGATGCGCCGAGACAGTAACAATTGTCTGTAGATGTTTGTCACAAATGGGTGTTAATTAATCAGCTTTCACAGAGCATGAGCAGCAGATTAGCCCAGCAGAGTGTGCAGTCAGCATGTCTGATGAGAAGTTCATAATCAGAGAGAGCAAAAGAGCTTGAGGTAGAATTGATGCAAAAGGTGCTTCCCCTTTATTATCACTTCTCAAGATATCTTTCAGTAAAGTTTTCCTTTTTTTTTTCTTTGATTTTCTCCATCAGCCTAAAGGCTGTAGAGTGTAAAATAAAAAGTTTAAAGTGCATTATAAATATTTGGGTTACCTACACTAGGCAACCCTTTGGCTAATAGTTCAAAATAGTATCTGTTAACATAGTTAAATGCCTGCGCTGTAATAAATGTCCTACTTGAATTCCTAAAAGACTGTTAATAACTAATAATTCAGTATTCATATTAGTAGTTGTAGCTAGAGAATAGGACACTAACTGTTTGTAGGTAACCATGACAATTAGGATGGCAGGAATGCAGCACAGGATGATGATAATGGCCAGGGCCAGCAGTGCTCCCTCTGTATAGCCCACGGCCTGAGCAGCCTTCTTCACGCTGGCCACGACATCAGGCGAGCGGATCTCAAGGATACGGCCACCCTCACCCAGATATGGTTGGAACTCTTTATTGATCTCCAAGACATTTCCATCAAGAAACCTGTTATTTACAATAAAGGGAAAACAAGATAATCATTTTTTTCAACATCATGAAATTGACAGTTAAAAATAAACAATATATTTCATAAAAGAGGGAATCTCTCTTTGTCTGTGTATATTCAAGTTTAATTGGCAATTAGTTTTGATTGGGATTTTTCCAGCTCTTCTTCCATCTTGGAAACATTACTTAAAAAAATAACTTATAATGCAGTGTTCTGGTTTTGTAATGGATTGTCCCCTGTATTTTTTGGGAATACTGAGGCAACGGGAGCATCGAGAATAAATGGCTCAGCGCCTGTTCAGGCTTGCAACTATAACTCAGCCTATAGCCTTTGACTTCAGCAAGCCCTTCCCGTTTTGGAACGCTATTACTGAATCATTGCTTTGGGTCTTTCCTTTGTCTGTGATCAATCAATTAATGCCGAACACCTGCTTACATCCAATACTAGTAAAATTTCAAACCAGGTTAACAGAATCCTAAAGCAAAGGAGAAGAAATGTTTTCTTTGACTTTAAAATAATCTATTACAAACATTAAAAATGAATAAAAACATTTAGATAAGCTGAATTTTACAACCAGAGTAATTGTTATTATTGGTGGTAAATTAGCATCATCATTGCACCATGAATGGCCTGTACTAATAAAGAACTTCAAGCCAGAGGACTCGAAATCGCTTTACACTACATTCGATCATTCACCCATTCAATTACACATTAACACACTGATGGTGGCAAGCTAGATAGCCATAGCCACCCTTGGTCACAATGACAGAACCTAGGCTGACACAAACAGACGTCACCAGGTTACAGGATGAACTCCTTCATAATATTAACCTGCTGAAGTACCTACGTACAACATCATGGCTTTAAAAAATTCTGTATTAAAAGATGCATGCATTACACCATGTCTAATAACAGTCATTTCTGTTTGTTTTTCCACAATACATAAACTGTAAATGAGATTATTAAATGGTCTGGGGCTATGTATCCACCAAAAAGCTGAAATGGTTATGAGGGCTGCATTTAAGGTAGGAGAGGGACATGCCGTCGTTAAAAACAACAACAACAACAACAAAACTGCGCTGTCTCTCTCCTTGAGAGGATCTCCTTCTAGGATGCTTATCAGTGGCAGTGTGGTTCAAACGTGTCTTTTCAGCTGTGCGTTTCTTTTGTGACTCACTTTTACAATGTTGCCCTACATCTTGCTGCCCTTGTATCAAATTGAAAAATAACTTGGGTAAACTTCACAAAAAGCTCTCGGAATATCATCTGTCACTGACCTCACCTAGTTGCAAACCACTCCACAGTCTTTGTTGAGGCTGAGTTTTTTTTTTCATCAACCATAGTTTCCATTGTATTTTGTACAAAATCTCCTTTTGCAATTTAGTTTTAAGAGTATCGTGTTCAGCTTAGAACAGGAGATGATTCTCTTTACCATATTCCCTTTTTAACAGAGATTGTATATTGTGCAGGATAATCAAAGTTGTTATAAAGAACAACTAGGTAGAGGAGGGAATCAAAATATCTAAAATTTCACGAGAGATTTTTGTCATTTAAAGTTGCAAAAGGTCAACAAAGACTGAAGTCAAAACACACAGCACACCAAGGGAAAATAGTCTTTAGTATGGACAAAATGCTTTACCCAAAGTCTTGTAATAAAATTCACCAACTCACTTGAAGAGCTCCTGTCGGGAAATGGCCCTGTTTGTTAATGGGTCAATGGCATACACCATTAGGTCTGACTTAGAATAGTCCTCTAGCTCAAACCCATCACCATGCCGACGTGGCCCAATCGACTCAACGATCACCTTGGCTCCGGGAATCTGGTCCTGAACATGTCGTTCCAGAATTCTTAAAGCAAAAAAGAAAAAGAAAAACTTTATGAACAGAGGTAACACATTTCTGCCAATGGAATAAATGTATATATTCATACTTTTTAAAAACATCCAGCAAAAAATCTGGTTTAATATTAAAACAATATAGTCTTTTACAGCAATATGGCAGCCTAATCCTAAGTAGTTCACATTAGAAATGGTTGTGTGAAGAAAAAGCTATTTTCCTCTAAACATTGGCAAAATGAGGCTTTGATAATCTTTCTCAGGGAGAGAGAAGTCCAAAACTTAAAATGCAACTGAGCGATAAAATGCGTCACCCCTGTATTTCCCTGTTTTGTTGGGAATTTGGAACATCTAACTTAAATGCTGCTTTAACACCTAATCAGTTAATACCCCCGATACAAGCTATTAATACCCATGTTTTCTAAGCTAATAAAAAGTATTAATTGTTTGAAAAAGGCTACAGTAAGTGTTTCAAAAACAAATGATAACACCTTTTGATTTTCGGAGGTGCTAAATATACGACAAGAGGCACGGAAAGAATTCACATTAACAGCATTAACCTCTTGGACACTAGGCCTGTTTTCGAGAAATATGCTTGAAAATAACATGCCCAAAATGAATTGAATATATCTCAAGAACTACAGAGTTTATTTTAATTGTTTTGGTATCAAAATAAAGGCAAGACCCCAGAGAATATGTTACAGGTCTAAAAACCATCTTGGGGCGAGTGCTGAGGACCCAAATTTGGGTCCTCATGTTATGAAAAGGTTAATTAATTTCTCTTAGAAATAACATCCACTTATTATCTGTATCCCCTGTTACATTTAGAAACATGAATGTAAGGAGAATGCCAATGGGATGAAAAAACATCCACAATCATTTGCTTCTTTGGTGAGAGTTCCAGTGTCAAGCAGAATAGAGGTCAAAAACTGGTGCAGCATGCTTAAGACAGATAAGAAATCATAGACTGGCACAGAGACAACAAAAAAGAAAAAAAGCAGCCATGTGCACACAAATGCAAAGTAACAAATTTGTTCTGCTATACGTGGTGAGGAGCATGTGTTGATTTCCATTCCTTTTGAACCCATTTTATGCCTTAACCCTAAAACAAACCTAAAATTAACCATTACCAATGCATACCTCATCCATAACCCAATTGACACCTTAGCCATAAACCTAACCATTAGCAAAAATACCTTGTGAGAACCAGTAACGTGTCCTCACTTTACAACAACTGGTCTTCATTGTAATGGTGTAATTGGAAAAGCAGTCTTCACAATGATTCCTAAACAAGTATGAAAGCTTAATAAAAAAATATGAGTTTATATGTGTTTTGTTTTAAATTGAAGTAAACAAAAATCTGGAATGTTAGGATTTTATTGTTCTTTATACTATTTTCATCAGCTCTAACAGAAATAAAAGAAGAAAGGAAAGAAGGGAAATAAAACCATCAGAGTCCAGCAATTTGGATATTTGTCGTTGGTGATTAACCTATAGTTAAGAGAGTACTGTATGCAATCTGGCATTGATGGTCTTCCGTAGAACCTCACAATACCAGTCTGAGATTCAAGGATACCAACACCCTGCTCTAGCTAAATGCTTTAAACATTTCCCTAGGAGAACACATTTATAAAGTTAGAAATTATAAGTTTTTAACTGAATTGCTAAAAAAAATTAAGTATCAAATGAAATTACATTATTCAAGATGCCCCTATATGTCTGTTCTATTCCTTACTGCATCATTAGAGCCCTTCTTTAGGTAAATACTTGAGCTGGCAGTTGAAGGTCATCTTTATGGGATTTTCAAGTGTCTTTTTGTCTCTAGAGAAGCCAATTAGTCTTTATCTTCCTGATCCTTGATGTCAGTTTGGTGCATAACCTATTTCTAACAAAGTCACTGGTTCTTCTTGAGTCAATGGCTAGTCACTGCGTAACAGACACAATGTCAAGGGAATACAGGTCTATATCTAGGTTAAACTCATATGAGAAGTTTTCAAGTTGGAAGTTGGACACAAATGATTAAAGGAATTAATGTTGCAAAAAAGAAGCAAAAGATAAAAATTAAAGGTCACGAATAAGTGACTTTTTCATAAAAATTGCACATTACATTAAAGGAGTGGTAAGTATGAAGTTAGATTTATAATTTAATTCAGTTGAGCTCAATTCAGTTCAATTCAACAATTATTTATTAAACCCAATGGGAAATAAAATGTTGTAGTAACTTATGGGAGGAACTGATCTTTCTCAGTGCCACATCTTGCACCCGATCTGAAGAAGCCTTTGACAGAAGGAACTGTTATTGCAGTCTTCTAAAGAGGATGCTCACAGTTGTCAATAATGTTTTTCACTTTATGAAGATTTTTTCTTTGTGAAATCATCACCTTAGGCTTGAGAGAAGTTCCAAGAACACAGCCTGCCTTTTTTAGCTGCTTGTTGAGGTGTTTTTTATTTATTAGCTCTCATGCTGTTACCCTAGTACAGGGGTTGGCAAACCATGGCGCCGGAGCCACATGCGGCTCTTTAGCACCCGCCATGCGGATCCCTGGACCTTTTTTAAAAAATGAATGAAAATTGATTTTTTTTTTTTTTTTAATATGGTGTGCAGGAGGTCAAACCAACATTTATTATGTTTTCCAATGCTGTCAAAATTTGTATAATAAATAAATTCAAACAATAAATAAATACAATTTCTTTCAACGAAAATTTGCATCATAGTCATAGAGATCAGTGCATATAGCCTGCAACAGGTTTTAGCATGGCGCGGTGGCAGGCAAACAAAGCTGCCGGCGTGTCTCGGAACATGGATCCTAAAGGGTGTTAGGTTTATTCTTTTATACAGTACATCATGTGCATTGTTACTTTGTTTGTCAGATTAGACAGAGTAGAAGGCCTTCCTTCACATTGTGGATGTCACGGTGTGTACGGAGGTCATCTAATTGGGACAGCCATCGTGTCTTTAAGAGTACACAGGATATGGGCACATCTTGGAACCGCTCTGATAGGAGAGCTCTGTAACCCTGAAGCATAGAAGCAAGCTGCACGAAGTTCAAGACATGGATGGCGTGTCAGTTTCTGATACGGACAGCTAAGCATCCACATGATGCAACACATAGACTCTTGAGCTATAAGAAGCAGGTGATGACCTTCTTCGGGGCAAAACCTAAACTGTGTGGTGAAGGGCTGTGAAGCGGCTCACGTTGAATTCCACATGGTGAGAGCGTTCACTGCTCCTCCCTCACCTCATGATACTATTTGCCCCAGAATAAACTTTTAATCATAAATGCTTATTATATATTTAAGCCCACGTAGCTGTTTTTTATAGTGAGCTAATACATTTAGAGCCCGTATTGCCATATGAGCCTTATATAAGACTTTCATATTTTTGCAGGTCCAGACAGATTTGTTTTTTGTTGTTTTTGGTCCAATATGGATCTTTGAGCTGTTTAGGTTACTGATCCCTGCCCTAGCGGATAATGGCAGAAGAGATCACATTCTTCACAAATGACTCAGAGAAGATTTGCAGCATCTTGCTGCAAACACAGAGACATTTATAAGTAGTCTGCTCTGTCCATTCTTTTAGATGGCATTACAGCGCTTTTTTGAAATGAGTGTGGGTTTGTTGAAGCAGGTGCTCAAATCTAACTCCATGGCATTAAGCAGTCTTGATAGCTGCTTATTTTCTTGCTCAGGTGGACGAACTGGGGTATATCTAGTGCCTTATTGATGTGGGATATTAGGGCAACAGGTCAATAGTCATTGAGGACTGTTGGCTGTAGAATGTAATTTGGAAGGCAATGTGGAAGGCAAGACGTCTTTCATATTACTGAAACCATCTCCTGGGTCTGGCCAAGGTTTAAGAGCTGTTGTAAAATCCTCCTCCTCTTAGTCGTCGTCTCCCGTTTCATCCAAGAGTGGGTCACCAGTCTCAGCAAAGCCTCCCAGACTTCCCTCCTCCCAGACACCTCCCCCAGCTCATCTTTGAGAATCCCAAGGTTCACCCACGCCACCTGAGAGACATAGTTAACCGGCATCTCCTGGATCATTCTCTAGACCCCCTTCCTGTGGAAAGTTAATTACTTTTTCCCCCAATAAAATACTTAATAGGCTGGAGAGGTGGGTAATATCTAGTTGCATTAATTCAGTTAGATTTACTTAAGAAACATTTTAAAAGACATATCATTTTAGGGAGTATTTTTTGTTGGATTTTATGTTTTACTTTGAAGTATTACTACTCTTACTTGAGTAAAATTTCTGGCTACTCTACCCATTGTTGAGTAACTTCCCTCACTGAAAAGAAAAAGCATGTTTGCAATAAGTTTCCACCAGAGAGAATACACACCTTTGTTTAATATAATTTCCAATATTCTGATACGACTGAATCATGTAAAAATCAGGTGAAAATACAGTAAAAAATGTTAACTTGCCATGGTCACATATTGTAACTAATTTTCCCAAAATTAAAAAGATATTAGCAATTAGCAATCCCTTCAGCTGCACATAGTCTAACATAAAGGTAAAAAAACAACAACAAAAAAACACTAGAATGAAGTTAGGAGAGCTACTCCAACGAGCCACCACCATGAGCCTTTTTAATATAGTATTTTTAAGGTAATTCTGTGCCGTCTAATATATTTATACATCAGCAAACCACTTACAAAATAAGAAAATAAATTATACAAAGCTTGGTATTACCAAAACCTGCTTGCATATTTAGTAAAAAGTGATATTGCAAGTGACATGTCTTACCTAATGAGCTCCTCTTTGTTCTCTTCCACTAAAGTGGGAGGTACCGTGGAGACAACAACCTGCATGTCTAATGCATTGACTACAGAAACCTAAGAGAATGAGTGGAGCACAGAAAAGAGAAAGAAAACAGGAAAAAATGGGACTGTCAGTTAAAAAGACCACAGGAAATCAAGATAAATGGTGATTAGGCGTGTTATTCATGTGTCCCACTGTGAGTTTGGTCGACTCATTTAAATGATTCTTTTGATGCAGCAAGTCAGACCCTCTAATTGCCTGCTTGTATTGGTGCCATGCGGCAAACCGAGCAGGTCTATAATTCTGATGCCACAGTTAAGTGCATAGGCAATGGCCTCTGTGCTCTGAAGCCAAAAGTCCCATGTGGCTCTTGAAAAATTATTTTCCCTTAAAAATTAACGAGTGCCATGGTTATACACTCACTGCTCTCTCATATTGAGGCAATGTCCCAGACCCTCCTTCTGCCTCATTAGAGACTTGTTAGCTAGACATATTTCATGGAAACTAAAAAAGCCTCCCCATAGTCAAGGCAAGAAAAAAAAAAATAAATAAATAAATAAACTAACAAAAACCTAACCTGAATTGGGAAAAGAGCAGAAATAGATCTATAGGTGCAATAACATATCACTATGAAAAAGGCATACATAATGCAAGGCATATTGACATAATATTTTTAGTTCTTTTTTACTGGAAGAAAATTTATTAATAACAGAAGAAATTTAATTGAATAATTAGCAAGTGGCAAAGGCCCAATGTTAAGTGTTTTGTACCTACTGTGAAGTAAAGCAAAGCCATCTCTTAACAAGCTATGACCATAAAACACACAAAACATTTTTAACCAGGGCAAAACATTGTTAACCTCACTAATGATTGGCCTAGTTGTTCTGGAGAATGTTTTGAGCATTTATTGTGAATAGTATTTTTTTTCTGGAACTAGTACTTAAAAGCTTAAAGGAATAGTACACCCAAAACATGATTAGCCTTCATTTTCTACTCACCCCCATGCTGAACAACACTCTGGAGTACTTTTTTGATATCTCAAATGCATCTGGAGATCTGGGAGGCTTCTTGCTGTCTGCTGACATTCAAATAATGGAGGTCTATGGTGACCGAGACAGAAAGGTCCATAAAAGTCCACAAAAACGTTTCAATATTCCTCCATACTGCTCCTCCAATGTATTCCAAGTTTCCTGAGTGGGTAGCATCCAGAATTTACTCGAAACAAAGTCATTTAGAATGTTTTTAGAGCATAAACAGTAGTGTATAGGATTTCCTGAAAGCGCGCACATGCGCGATCACGACGCTACGGAAGCCGGCAGACCAAACCAGCGCATTCAGCTCGGCAAAGAACTCATGCTCTTCCTCAACACTGAAGTCCTCAGACATTTTTCTTTCGTTGTTTCTTTCTTTGCACAGGTAAACGGCACATTTCTTCTTCTACGCTTGCATTATTGGAAGAGCAGACGCTGAATGTGCACTTTCATCTGGTTTGGTCTGCCGGCTTCCGTAGCGTCGTGATCGCGCATGTGCGCGCTTTCAGGAAATCCTATACACTACTGTTTATGCTCTAAAAACATTCTAAATGACTTTGTTTCGAGTAAATTCTGGATGCTACCCACTCAGGACACTTGGAATACATTGGACGACCAGTATGGAGGAATATTGACACGTTTTTTGTGGACTTTTATGGACCTTTCTGTCTCGGGCACCATAGACCTCCATTATTTGAATGTCAGCAGACAGCAAGAAGCCTCCCAGATCTCCAGATGCATTTGAGATATCAAAAAAGTACTCCAGGGTGTTGTTCAGCATGGGGGTGAGTAGAAAATGAAGGCTAATCATGTTTTGGGTGTACTATTCCTTTAAGGAAGCCCATTCTGCATCAACTTACGATGCAAATGCCATTTAAATTCATATGTTGCAAGCAAAACAGTATCATATGGTTAGTTTGTGAGATAAACATAACAACTGCAAAGTTTTATGTTCCATTATCCTAATGAGTCATTGAACAAAAATATATATTCAGATGTGAAGAAGGAAAAAACAAGTAATTCACGCATTCAATGAAAATCAAATGAAAATACTTTAAGAAATGTGTTATAGTGGATTGACTATTAAACTTTGTGGTTAAACTAAATCAAATTTTGCTTAAAATAATAAAGTAACACATTGCAAAAAGTAGAAAAACCACCTTCAGTTAGATGTAAACTGTAAATGTTCCTTTGTTTTGGTCTATATGCTGAAGAGTATAAAGGATTTTAAAAGGAGCACTTTCGCTCTAACTGGAAAGGATGTGTTGAACCACCACGGTTCTGTTTTCTGTGTAGTAATTCACTCAATTAGTTCTAAATCAGAATACTTACCACCACTTCAGCACTGCTGCTAAAACCTTCCCCATAGTCATCAGTGGCAATAACTTCAAACTTGAAGTAAGACCTGCGCATATTTCGAAACATGATGGCTGACTTAATGATACCAGTGTAGGCCTCTATGACAAAGCTGTCTTGACCCTCTGCTGTTGGAGGTATAATCAGGCGGTATGCCATGGCACTGAAGTTCCCAGTATCCTTATCAGTGGCCTGGAATAGAAGAGCAGCATATAATAAATTAGAAAACATACGATAACTTGGCAAAATAATTAGAAAAAGAGTCAACTGAATATGTTGCATTAAGTGCTCTAATTCATCACAGTACATACCCACCATATGACATGGCATACTACAGCTATTCCCCGCTATCATACAAGTAGTCTACTGTATCCATGTGACATGATGCAACAGTGTCTCACTGCTATATCTATTAGTCACAAATTGAAAAAATTTTGCTGTGGCGTCTGTGCATCCCATTATTAATATACGAGCAAAGTGGTAGTTTTCTCAGACACTCTGTTACTGCTACATATTAGGCCTAATATGATAATACCACTTTCTGCTTTAATCACTGTTTTTTTTTTTTATTGTGGATAACATTCTTATGTATATCAGACTTAATTTACATCTACAGTTATACAATCAAATAACCCAAGCTATGTTTTTAAGGTTTGTGTACATCAGCCAAGATCATGCTTTTTAGTTTGAATTGGTTGAGATGATAGGGGTCTGCTTTGACCTTGGTTCCTCATGGATTAGCAATTATCTTCAACTAATCTGATTTTTGTGAAAAAACAAACACAAAAACAAAACAACTAAACAGTAGATTAAGAAAAACGTATGAGATATTGCCTAGTTTTAACTAACTTTTAAAACATCAGGTATAAAAGACTCTAAGATCTCGAAAAATCCCTTTCTGACACCATAGCATACATAATTAATTAGATCTCAATCTAATCCTGGCTATCATAAATGGTTTGAAGATTTAATAAAAATGTTTATTGAAATGTATGCACCATTAAACTTGCATATATGCTACTGCTGCAATGTTCAACAACATGGTAATTTATATGAGAGTGATCTTAAAAAAAAATAGTAGCTACGTTAACCATATAAAAGTAATTATTATTTAATCTAATGCTATGCTATGCCAGCCTAGGGACATTCATAGACTGTGCACAGGACTTTGAATCTTCATTACAACAATGATTTGTGAACAAGTACAGAAAAAGGGGATGATACAATAGGAACAGAAGCATGTTCACAAGGCAAGGAAAGTTTATTCAGCACAGCTCAATAGCAAGACAATTCAAATAGCTGTACATAACAGTAAAACATAGAGAACGGTACATTGCAAGATACAAAAAAAAGAGTAACAATATGATTGATAATAAAATGAAAGAAAGTTGGACTGCAAAGTTGAACTAATTATATGTCGAATGAACACTAAAATCTAATCCACAATCTGTTTTACACATCCTGAAACAAGTGTACTATACAATATGGATCCCATAATAAGTGACACACATACTTCATCAATATGACAAAAACAAAATACCTTTCAGGATTCATTTACATTCACTCAAACAAGAAACAGCATGACATCTGTTTTAGGGTTGACCACAATAACAAAACATAAAACCCTTTTTATTTCTAAGAAGAAATATAAAGATTATTGTCTACCTGTCAAAGCACTTTATATTGCTGAAGACATATAAACCGAATTTCACCATCAAGGACTCACAAAATTTGATAAGCCACTGGGCTCAGATGCATCGATTCCTAGAGTATGTGTGTGTGGTGACACTGATAAATAGTAGCAATCCCTTTTTTTTCTCCCTTGCAATTGTAACAGCAGGGGACAGGTAGCAATGAGTGGAGTCCTGAAGAAAGGAGTGCATAAATCAACACAGTTAGATATTTTCACTGGTAGAGATTTTACCAAATAAATGTATAGACATTACTTATACTGTAGCTGTTATATCCTTTACAATTCTATGGATACAAACTGTGATGATAAAAGCAGGGCACCAAAGTAGGTGCTCAAGGTTTAACGTGCCTTTAATTCTTTATTTATGACACCATAGAATAAACGTTTTTTTAATGAAAGAACACAGGGATCTTCTCTCACATAAGAAAAAGTATATTAAAGGGTGTAAAAAGCAGAGGAGCATGCAGTCACAATGAAAGCTAATTTACAGAACCCGGAGTGCAGTTAGTTTCTGATTAGAAGTAATGTACTTTCCGAACTATAGAGCACACCCCACTATAAGCTGCGCCCACAAATTTTTTTTAAAAAACTCAACATGTCATGTATAGATATATAAGCTGCACTGAACTATAAGCCGCTGATATCTACTGAACTGTCTCCCACCAAACCTGTAGGGGGAGCTCTACATATCGCCCCTGCAGCAGGGACGGAGAAGAATGCTAGCTCCTGCTAGCTCCCAACATTGGCTATTATTGGTTGCATGGTTCAAAGCATGGGAAAAAGGTAGCAGCTTATAGTCGGGAAAATACGTTAAAGCTACAGTGTGTAATAATTACAGGGATATACAGTCAGAAATGTAATATATTATACATAACTATGTTATTTATCATCATCTACGAGCTCAGCCTCTTAACCTTAATATTTGCGTTGCCTTAGAATTCGTTATTTATAATTACATAGGAGCGGGTCTCGCAGCCATGGAGGCAGACATCTTTGCACTACGGCAGCGCAGAGCCAACAAACTAGCGATTGCGAGATCGCCCATTACGCTCGAAAATAACTACGGCAAGTTGTTTAAGTCTACATGAAATCTATACCCTACACAGACTAATGAAATACTATCTGTAAAATTATCTTTGTAAACAAACCTCATCACTTGAGAAGGTAGGTGATGCGGACGTCGTGGAAGACATTTTGTCCCGTAACGCTCGCCGTACTGTTGGGGGGGGAGAAGCGGTGGGGGGGAGATGTTCATGTTGCTGCAGTCTGCAGTCTGGACGTTAGATGTCGCTGAAAATTACACACTGTAGCTTTAAGTGATTTTTTTGACAAAGGATTGGGATTTAAAAATAAAATTTGGTTTTGCTTTTCTTTTTGTTAATCTGTCAGAGGATGTATCTTTAAAAGATCTTATTGAAGAGAGGGTCAATATAACACTGTCACAGCCTGTCAGAGAGTGGATAATGGCTTATATTAAGAACAATATAAAATGCTCAGTGATGGGCATTTTTCATTTTCCAAGTTCTCATTGATGGATGGAGGTTTGGGCTAAAAATTACATGGTACATTACCTTGCTTGTTTAACTCTTAACACGGATTAGGCATTCTGTCCCCTTTGCAAAAAAAAAAGAAAAAAAAAAAACAGGCCCAAAGCATGGTGTTTCCACCCCTCCATGCGTCACAGTAGGTATGATGTTCTTGGGGTGCAACTCAGTTTTCTTCTTCCTCTAAACATGATGAGTTTGTGCCAAAAGGGTCTATTGTTGTTTAATCTGACCACATGTTATTCTTCTGGTTCTCTTCTGGATCATCCATATGTTCTCTGGGAAACCTCAAATGGCCCTGGATATGTAGTGGCTTAAGCAGTGGGACAAGCCTAGCACTTCAGGATTTGATACCTCTTGGTGTAGTATGTCAATGATGACAGCCATGGTTACTTTAGTCCCAGCTCTTTGCAGGTTATTCATCACAGCCCTCTGTGCAGTTCTGGGATTTTTCTCACTTTTGTCATGATCAATTTACCTCATGGGATAACTGTAGATTATGCAATGGACTTGTATGTCCTTCATTTTCTAACAGTTGCTCCCACAGTTGATGTCTTTGCACCAAGCTGCTTGTTAATTCTAGCTTCACTTTTCCCAGCCTTGTGCAGTTCTGCATTGTTTTTCCTGGCATTCCTTGGCAAATCTTTGGTCTTGATCATGGTTGAGTTTGGAGTCTGACAGTTTATGGATGTTAACAGGAGTCTACAAATACCAATACCAGGTGCCATAAATCCAGGCAATTTCAAGAAGTTACAGGTCTCTGGGGGCCAGACATCTTGATTGTAGGTGATCAAACACTGATTATTCACCACAATACTTTCAAAATGACACAATGTGATTTCCTGCATTTTTTTTCTCAATGTGTCTTTAATAACTGAAGTGTAACTATGATGAAAATTACAGACCAGTCTCTCCATTCTAAGTAGGAGAACTTGAACAATCAGCGGCTGAATTTGAATTTCACTTTGCCCCACTGTAGTAGAACAGCTCAGACTGTGAAACATACTGTAGATGTAATAAGGTGAATTGTCACACCAAGGTTTCCAGGGGAGGGAATCAGGCACTGCTGAATCAACCAATCCCCCAACATATGCTTCCAACAAGATTATCTTGACCTATTGAGGCAGATATATTCTATGTTCTTACCACTATTTTAAGGACAGAGCTGAAAATCTTTGTGTCCTCAGTTACACCACCAATGTAGAGCTTCCTGGAGAAAACAGGAGGGTGGTCATTCTCATCCAGTATGTCAATGAACACCTTGGCTGTGTTGCCTGCAAAAGGAGAAAATCAGAATCTTTTTAAAGAAGTAATTATCTGGACAGCTTTTAACTTTAGCTAAAAAGGTCTAATTTCCATTTTTCTAAGTTTAATGCAAAAGAACTTTGGTAGGCACTATGCAAAACACCAATCTGAGTGAATGACTGAATTTCAAGTGCCTCACTGTATAAGCAACCAATTTGCTGCACCCTCATACATTTATAAATGAGAAAAATTGGCAAGAAAAGTTTCATGTTTAATAGACAGAAGCTTATTCAGTCATGTGGGCCATAGATGATCAGATGCTGCATAATCTGGTCTTGAAAATGTCTTGTCAAAGAAAGTTCTTCTGTTTCCAAGACAACTCTGAAATGTATTATTTCAATGAAAATAACCCCAAGAAACTTATTTTTTGAAGAAAATCACATCACCATAAGGTAAAAAATATATCTTTGTAATTTGAGGCTTCTATGAAGAAAAGCCTAAACACTTCTAGAACAGTTTCCAACTGTGGTAAGAGATTGACATTGCTTCTGCAAAAAGATTTAAAAAAAACTCTTTAATTTGTTTGTTGGCTGCAAAGGATTTTTCATGCAGGTTCGGTGGTTAAATTCTGGTTGCATCTGACCAAAACTACTTCCTCAACATGACTTGTTTGTCTCCTAAATTCCTGATGAAAAACTTTAAAGAACATTTTTTTATATACTTCGGTGATTTGGAATTGTGCAAGATGCTATAGTTTTATTCCAAGATAAATTTTCGAATCTATATATAAATTCTGCAATAATCTGTAGATATAAAATAAAGAGGTTAGTGCTGATAATGAAGACATGAAATTATTCCGAGGTAAAGAAGTATCAGAGATGTAAAAAACGTTTTGTGCAAAATGCTTAATTCTGATCCAAATAAATTTGATCCAATCTGGCTATTAAGTAAATATGTATGTTTTTAACATCACGGATTATAAGTCTCCTTTTCACACAAAGTGATCTAACACAGGGACGCAATTTTGCATCAATGAAAATAATAAACTAAAGGTTTGTAAAAAAGTACAGGCAGTTTCTAGGTAGATGATGGGATAATAATAATTTAAGCTCCTTGACTCCACTCTTTACTAGAGGCTTTGCAGGAAACTAGCTTAATAAAAATGTAATATTACAAAAAAATAATAATTTTAATGAATACTCTAACAACGCTGATGAAACCAGGTAGTCATACATCCCACACAATGTAATATAAACTGGCCTTTTTTTCATGGCTTGAGGTATTCAACATGTGTTTTAAAGAGAAACCAAACACTCAATGAGTAAAAGGCTTTTTTTAACCTAATTTGTCATAGCTTCAGTTAAGTTATTCTTAGTATATATATGTGCAAACCCCCTCCAGGTCTGCAGGTTGCATAAGTACAATATCAAAGACCTTTTTCTTTTTACATAAAAGTAAAGTCATCATGCAGGGAAACTATAAATGCAGCAAGAAAAAAACAATGCAAAGACAATAAAATGACAAAAACAAACACATAAATTACATCATTAAATTACATCATTTGTTGTGAATATCGCCGGCTGGGGTCAATGGGATGAGACAATAGTTACTTTATATCACCTCTCTCCTATAGTGTCCTCCTCTACTTTTATCTTACACCCTTATAAACGCAATAAACCAGGACCCTTTAAAACAAAAGGGTTGAATGGAGACAAGTTAGGGAGTAGTAAGGGGTGTGTTATTGCCTAGAAAACATGGTGATTACATTCTGGCCCTATGAGGAATTAATGTGTATTTGCAGTGTCACAAAATTGTGTACCACTCATATGAGGTGAGAAACTGTAACAAATCTATAGGTGAAACAATGGTGTAAAAGCTGAATAAACCAAATCACTGAAATAAAAGCTACTCTTAATAATGAAGCCTCCATAAAAGGTTACAGTGACAAAGGGAAAAGACATCTACCTGGCTTGAAAGCTCTCCCTTATGTGTGTGATAAGAGCCCTCTACTTTCCATCACTTATGGTCGGTGTGCCTGACTAGTGTTTACTTATAATTACTGTCATTAGAATGTAAGGGACACACACACAGAGAAGGGAAGAGGCAAGAAGAGTAGGCCATTGATTATTTGTTGAAACCTGTTTGTATGCAACATTTCATCATCGGGAACTTGTATGTCAGTAAACTGGCTATTAACAAGCCTAGTGAAAATCCAGATGGAGTATAGACATCTGATAACATTTTATCTAAATTATCTATGAACTGCAAACAAAACGAAAAGTTATTTACTTTTCTAAAATGTGATATTTTGTCTTAAAAGTGTAGTGGAGGACGTTCTTTTTCTGGGTGGATCATCAAAATAAGTGCTCCTCCTAATTGTAAATCATTCTTGTGATATGTTTAGGTAAGGCCGTCCTACGTGCTCATCCCCATTATCACTTACCGCTGGTGAGTCTGACATTGTGGAAAAATTGCAAATCTTCTTTTGTAGAGTAAGCTTGTATGAGCGATGCAAACAGCAACTTCTAAACAGAGCGTGCATGAGGAGAAATGGGCTTGTGCATGCTCTCTCAATAGGCATTCGCTCTCAGGAGCAGGTATATGGTTGTGCATGTACTTTTTTTTTTTTTAAAGTCACAAAAATTCTCCACTATACCTTTAAGATGGCAGATACAGTACAATTACAAAAATTAAAAATATCTTTGAAAATGAATTAGTTTCAGTGATTCAAATTAAAATAAAACAATAAAACGTAAATTAGTTAAACTTGCTAAAAGTATGATTCTTATGTAAAAACACACAATATTAAACATATTTAAAAGTTAGTATTTCTTACTTTTAGAAGGCACACGCAGGTTGGACATGACAACCCCCAAAGAATCTGCCTGCACCCTGAGGACGTAGCTGGTTATGTTCTCATAGTCCAGTGGTTTGGCAATGGAGATGACACCAGTGCTGCTGTCTACTTTAAAGTGTCCTGAAAACAAGAAGTAGAAAAAAATATTCACAGAAGTCTTCCTCTTAGAACTTAAAACATTTTCTGCTTTGTTTAATATTTAGTTTATTTGCTACCCTCTAACTGCAAAAAATTGTTTCCATTAATTTTTGCTGATACGTTTATAAAGCCAGGTGTAGTACAACAAAGAATACATTTTAGGTAGAGTTCTTTCTTTCTTCAAGAATATTTTATAACCAATATGCATTTACATCATAGTAACGATATTAGAACAGCTAAAATAAGAGATTATTTTATTGTTAATAAATGTTCAATATTCAGATATATCAATTATCTTTTCCCTGCAAGTCACTGTCTGCATTATACTTTAAAAGACAGCCTTAGGCAGGAAGCTATGAAAAAGAAAATTTGTGTTATGTATCCTGATAAAGCATTTATTAGTCTTCTCTTCCTGCATTCTCTTCCTGGTATGTGATCTGTAGGCCATACCCAGTTCATTTCCTCCAACAATGGAGTAGAAGATGGTTTGATTCATAGCAGCAGCTAGAATAGTCCCCACCGCAGTGCCAACTGGAGACAGCTCTTTGACTGCAGGAAACCTGCAAAGACATCAAAGCACTCATAAGACAATCTATACTGTACAAAAGTGGCCAAAACAGTTTCAAGAATGCAGAAGAAAATAACACAGAACTATTAGTAGTTATGTCCTATGAATGTTTGACACTATGTGTGGGTGCTTTTTATACACACAAAAAAAAAAAAAAATCACACCAATTGCACCAACTTTGAAGAATGTACTTAGTAAATTACCTGATTTCATTTATTTATTCTTTTTAACACTATCCAAGTTTTTGCCTTTTTGCCAGAATTTATCCTATAAATATATCGTATATATTCTATATAAAAACGTTTTTCTCTTCAAAAATATAGAACATGAGCTTTATTGTAATACAGCAAGCTAACATGTTTACATCATAACTATCATGTATGATGTCAGTAATGCTGCTTTTAAAAAAAAAACTTCTAATTCCTATGGTCATGAGCTTTGGGACATGACCGAAAGAATAAGATACAAGCAGCTGAAATGAGTTTTCTCCGTGTTGTTTCTGGGCTCTCCCTTAAAGATAGGGTGAGGAACTCGTTTATCCGGGGAGGACCCAGAGTAGAGCCGCTGCTCCTCCACATCGAGAGGAGCAAGTTGAGTTCTTATTCTGAATGGAAACACTGAACTGCTTTCTGATGACCTTAAGGGTCCAAATGTTTCATACTTGACCAGCAACTGTGAAATATGTTTTTGTCAAAGACCATTCGGTACTACCTTTGTTAGAGAGTGCATGCTTTCTTATACAACAAAAACTCTTACAGTAACTTATCCGTGTTGATCCTGCTATTCATGACTGGTTTTAGTACAAGGTGTTGATGATCATTGCTAGGATGATCAACCTAGATCCTGACAAGGGTGGACACAGATATAGCCTACAGACAATAGACAGAACTGTCAATATAAATGTAAAATTTTGAAAGAAAGAAAGATGACATCTTAAGATGTTTAACATTTACCTACTGTTCTAATTCTTTCCAATTGTTTTTACAGTTTTTGATATATGATTAATCTTTATCCAAATAAAAATGACACTTTATTTCAACTATGCATAATTGTTTAAATAGTTTTTATTGGAGCAGTATGTGGTTAAAGTAGATTAAAAAAAAAAGTATTAATCTTCCACAGAGCGGTGCCACATCTTAGTGTACCAAACATTAGCTGCACAGAAAAGCACAGCATTCAAAACCTCAACATTCTTTGAGTGTGTGAGTATCGGCTTGAAAAAGAAAACTGAACTGTGAAGCTACAATCTTTTCTGCTGCTCTTTTCTGATGCCTTAGCTCTTATTTACAGGGAAATACTTTGGAGAGGATAACATCCTTGGTTTGTGGCTCTGGCACTGTGATATATTCTTCATAATATGGAAAGTTTCAACTGCAAATCTCATTGGGACTTCAGGGGTTTTCAGTTCGAGACTGTTACGCCCACCAAGGACACAACATATTTGAGGACACGAGACAAAAATGAGGGTTCAAAAAAAGATTTTTATTAATAAATTCTCTCCGTTTTAGTTGTTCTTGGTTCGGCTTCTTCAGATGTTCTGCGAAGAGAAAAATAGTTAACGGCCCTCAAATCCCGTGCCCCAAAAAAAAAAAAAAAAAACCCAAAGTAACAACAGAAAGTTGGACCTGGCAGGCCAATCAAACAGAATATAACGGTACAGCAGGGGGCCAACCCTATACAGGGCCGTCGAAGCCCCTACTGGTACCGGACTAAAGGCAAAAAATAACCTAAGCGAAAGAAAAATCGAAAACAGGACTACCGGTCCCGCCAGGCCAAAAACCTCAAGAAAAAAGTAAGAAAAAGGTAACAAAAATACCACATGGCAGGCTGGAACGTCCGCTGCAGGCCGCAGCGACAAGACAAGTGCGCACCGCGCACGATGGAGCAAATGAAGCAGGTGGGAAGTGGCGTCCAAACGAGGTTGGAAAGGAACGCGCAAGGAACGCGCTAACGTGCTGAAGGCCAGCCTATTTATAGGCGGACGACAGCACCACAAATTAACATAATTGATTTACTAAAAAAATCCTAAAATATATTAACAAAAGGATCCTTCAACTAAAGTTTATAAGCAAACGAAGAAAAGAAATGGACAAAAATCAAAATGTGCCTGGGGCACATAACACCCCCACCCAAAGACTCTGAATGGGGTCCGAAGCAAAGCTCAACCCATTCAGAGAAAAAAAAGGAAAGCGGAACTAGAGTCATGAGAGTGCGTCGGCCATGACATTGTCTGCTCCTCTTACAATAAAAACACGCTAAAAGGAAAGCGGGACTAGAGTCAGGAAAGTGCGTCAGCCACTACGTTGTCCCCTCTTCCTACAATAAAAACGCGTCACATAGCTCTCACATCCAAGACATGATCCAATGCGCTCTCAATGCCACCAAGCGCAGCAAATACATCCAATTCACCAACTTCAGTCTGCGTATTTCAAAAAACAGCTCTTCCCTCTATCAAAGCCAGCTGTCCAAAATTGACCTGAAGTTCCTTTAAACGACATGGATCAGCTGCACATGAGGTTTCCTTCGGCGATTCATCAAGACTCTGTTAAAACTGCAGCAGGAAAAATATCCTTCGTGCACTCACTAAAGACATCTAATGTGGCTCCTCGAGCACTCATCCAGGTCAGACTCCATGTCCACCCCTGGAATCTAGCCACACTAAACAGGAACACTCCATCCAATGTAGGCTCTCGAGCAAACTCATCCAGGTCAGACTCCAATGTCCACCCCTGGAATCTAGCCACACAAACTGTCAAGCACACATACAAAGCCACAAAAAACACCAGAGCCAAATCGTCCAATCCATAATAACCTCAAAATGCTCGGCTTCCCGTGCATCTGCAGCTGCCCCGACACCTGCGTCATCTCGTTCACTGGAAACACAACTGATAGAGTTATGCAGAGCGGGCGCACGTTCAGCAACAGATCCTTTGTGCATTTCTGCAAAGTGTCCAATGTGGGCCCTCGAACAAACTCATCCAGGTCAAACTCCATGTTTACCCCTGGAATCAAGCCACACCAAATCAGGGACACCTCTGCACAAACAAAGCTACAGCACCACCAGAACCGAATGCTCTAATTAATCAGCGCAACGCGCGTCAGCTGCGCAAAAACACACACAAACCCAGCACAACCGCCAACAAACAAGAACCAACCGTAGGTCACGACCTGTCTCTAAAAGGCACACTTTGTTTAAACAAGCCCCCAAAAATATGTCACGTCCACCAAGGACACAACATATCGGAGGGCACTAAAGGCAAACATTGTTTTGACAAGCTCCCAAAAATATGTTACGCCCACCAAGGACACAACATATTTGAGGACACGAGACAAAAATGAGGGTTCAAAAAAAGATTTTTATTAATAAATTCTCTCCGTTTTAGTTGTTCTTGGTTCGGCTTCTTCAGATGTTCTGCAAAGAGAAAAATAGTTAACGGCCCTCAAATCCCGTGCCCCAAAAAAAAAAAAAAAAAAACCCAAAGTAACAACAGAAAGTTGGACCTGGCAGGCCGATCAAACAGAATAAAACGGTACAGCAGGGGGCCAACCCTATACAGGGCCGTAGAAGCCCCTACTGGTACCGGACTAAAGGCAAAAAATAACCTAAGCGAAAGAAAAATCGAAAACAGGACTACCGGTCCCGCCAGGCCAAAAACCTCAAGAAAAAAGTAAGAAAAAGGTAACAAAAATACCACATGGCAGGCTGGAACGTCCGCTGCAGGCCGCAGCGACAAGACAAGTGCGCACCGCGCACGATGGAGCAAATGAAGCAGGTGGGAAGTGGCGTCCAAACGAGGTTGGAAAGGAACGCGCAAGGAACGCGCTAACGTGCTGAAGGCCAGCCTATTTATAGGCGGACGACAGCACCACAAATTAACATAATTGATTTACTAAAAAAATCCTAAAATATATTAACAAAAGGATCCTTCAACTAAAGTTTATAAGCAAAGGAAGAAAAGAAATGGACAAAAATCATAATGTGCCTGGGGCACATAACAGAGACATAGGACAAACTTACCGAGGTATAAGATATGTCTGGTTTCTATCCACTGCAATATGGAATCAATAAGTCCACATTATGAGCTCTTCAGGTGAGATCTTCTATGTAATCATGCAAAATGAATTAAATGATTTAAACATGAATACTATTGGAAATCATTGTTGCAATACTGAGATACATTTGACTCAGTGTATTAGCTTAATTTCAGCATTTGGCCGATTCGATACTCCGTGTGGGCTGACCTTCTCAAAAACAGGATCATTTTACTTGTAGAGTACTCACCAAGAAGTCAACTTAATTAAGTTGTATCGACTCACATCTCGACAACTCGAAATAACTCTAAGTGTTGCTAGAAGTAGCGACATCTTCACCCAATTTGCGTATTTGCTAATCTTTAATTCAGCATTAGGAGAGAAGAAAATCAACATGTGCAAGAAAGCATTTTTTTTTTTGACCCCTGAAGATGTAACTCCCTACAATATAATGTACGATGGAACCCAGTACTCGAAGAAACCTGAATCCTTTGTGTCTTCCTTCTTATGGAATCTTTGACCTAATTGAAGTTGAATCCATAATTAACTTTTAGATGAATGGTGATTGTAAAACTAAAGCAACAGTCTGATAATTTTTCTCATTTTTCGGGAGCAACTTCAAACTTTTTCCCATTTCCTGAAAACATTTACGCATGCGTCGTTAGGGAAGCAACCCTAGCTGTCATATACACCTTGTGAATCTTTTCGATTAAACTCGTGAATAGGCTTTTCCTTACAATTTAGTCAAAGTAATGGTTATGCCTCTGACTTGTGTCCCTTTCTCTACCACAATGTTTTCTTTCATTGCACTCTATTGCATAAATATCTGTTCTAATAGGTTAACAAATCAATGATTTGATCATTACCAGATTCTAATATCCTTTATCTTGCTAGCCTTAAGTGTACAAAGCCCCAAAATACAGATCCTGACATTCTGCTTTTTTATAATAAACATGAAGC